GTTTCTGACTGTTTACAGTGTTTCTGACAGTTTACAATGTTTCTGACTGTTTACGACGTTTCTGACAGTTTACAATGTTTCTGAGTGTTTACGATGTTTCAGACTATTTACGATGTTTCTGGGTGTTTACGATGTTTCTGACAGTTTACGGTGTTACTGACAGTTTAGGGTGTTTTTGACAGTTTACAATGTTTCTGACAGTTTGCAATGTTTCTGACAGTTTACAATGTTTCTGACTGTTTACGATGTTTCTGACAGTTTCTGATGTTTCAGGCTGCTTACAATATTTCTGACTGTCTACGGTGTTTCTGACAATTTACAATGTTTCTGACTTACGATGTTTTGAACAGTTTACGATGTTTTGAAGAGTTTACAATGTTTCTGACAGTTTACGATGTTTCTTACAGTTTACGGTGTTTCTGACAGTTTACATTGTTTATGACAGTTTACGATGTTTCTGACAGTTTACGATGTTTCTGACAGTTTACGATGTTTCTGACTGTTTACAATGTTTCTGACTGTTTATGATGTTTCTGAGTGTTTACAATGTTTCTGACAGTTTACGATGTTTTTGACAGTTTACGATGTTTCTGACAGTTTACGATGTTTCTGACTGTTTACAATGTTTCTGACTGTTTACGATGTTTCTGGGTGTTTACAATGTTTCTGACAGTTTACGGTGTTTCTGACTGTTTACGATGTTTCTGACTGTTTACGATGTTTCTGACTGTTTACAGCAGGGGTGTCAAACTCACATATACCAGTTCCCAAAGTTAACAAAATGGTATTCTGCTAAACAAAGTTAGTCCTGCTTTTTGCCGTTAGCGTACTAACAGAACCTTGCCCACCACTGGTTAATGATCACCAAACAGCTCTTTCAAATCTGAACTGTTACTGAGTGAGGCAACGAGGAAGATTAGAATAAGCTACTGTAGTTAACAAGCCAGTTGTTATCAGCTGCGTACTGTAACGTCAAAAAGGCACACATCAAAGTTTGTATTATCTATTTCTTTTCTGCGTAGGTATCCTGTGGAATCTTTCATCCAAGGAGAACCTGAAAGGGGAGCTGGCCAAACACACAGTTCATAAACTCACTGAGAAGATCCTTGTACCCATAGCAGCCAAAGAGCTGGACGATTCGACGAGGTTCCTGGAGGGCTCTGACAGGATCACGGAGTCTCCCTCGCAGGCAGAAATATTCTGCAACACCACAGGATGCCTCAGGTGCAAATCACACGTCAAGCCTTTCGATCTGACTTCACTTTAAGTTGTTTTCTGTGGTGTGAAACACAATAAATAAACGATAAGAACATCACTGTAATATTAGTGAATACACCTGAACTGATTTTTATTGTTGTTTTTCATAAACAGGATGGTGGAGAAGAGACATAGTCAGAAAAAAAAAAAATCTTAAAGGGTTTTCACTACCTTTGAAAGTAATTTAAACCTGTACGGTATGCTTCAGGGCTGAGTGTTATATAATAATAAGTCTTGTAATTGAGCTTTTAAAGAAGTGGTTAAATATTAATAGCTGCAGTTGTAAAAACCTGCTTTCTTCATAGTACAATCAAGGTTTGAAAGATTAGAGAATGGAGCAGCGGCTCACCCAACATATGGGGGGGGCAAACGTTCATCTTTGCCCCCCCCTTTTTTGACAGGACGTCACTCCCAGTGATAAGACAAAGGCATGCTTTTATTCTTGTGTAACTTTTAGTAACAAACCTGATCGATTAGATGTGAAAATGCTGCATCTTTTTCTGACCCTGAAATAAAACAGAACAAATTAAAACTCTTTATTGTGCTGTGTAGGAGCACAAGCTATCCACGGGTTCATGAAACTGGGAAATGCTCCCATTATGCTGCTCTTTCATTGCTGGTGGAGCTCCATTCACATCAGATCAAAGCTCAATGTCTGTACAATGGGCTGAGTTATTTGACTTTTCCATGTTTACCAAGATCAGCTGCATTTAATCACTTGTAGATGAACACACTCGTGCGTTATGACCACCCAAAGCCCTAAATCTATCGAATTTGCAGCAACACGTCTTTTAAATTATTTTTCCTGTTTCAGCTGTGCCACTTTGCTTCTCTCCCACCACAGTATTAGCAATTATTAAGCCTCTTCCTGCTTTAAATTCACGTTTCCTTTTCCTCTGAAAGCTCTGAAAGGACAGAGCAGCTCTTTTGAAGAGGTTCTTTTGAAAGGTTATCTAAAGTGCCCTGCCTGAAGGCGTTGGCCACCGTGGTTCTGTTACACAACCACCGCCATCTTTTTGAGCCTATTTGTCTGAAGTGATCTCCAACCTCGTTCTCTCTTTGTGTGATCAGGAATGTGAGCTCCGCTGACGAGAAGACCCGTCAGCTGATGCGGGAAGCCAAAGGCCTGGTGGATTCTTTGGTGACCTACATTAAGGCTTGCGTTGATAAGAGCAGGGCAGAGGAGAAGGTACGACTGGAAGCTGCCTCTTCTCATTCAAACGAAACCCTGCTCTGTTTGTGTATTCACCCGTTTGTGTTGTAGGGGGTGGAGAACGCCATGTGCATCTTGAGGAACCTCTCGTACCAGCTCTACAGTGAACTGCCTCCATCGATTGCTCAACAAGTGAACGGAGAAGCAAAACAGATCGAGAGGAGCGCGCCAGTTGGCTGCTTTTCACCTCGGAGCAAAAAGGCCAAGAATGTACGCGCACACATCAGCAAGAGCTTCTGCTTGTGACCAAACTTGTTGAGTTTTAACGCTGACTTCTTGTATTGTCCTTTGAATGACAGAAAAAGGAGAATTCTCTATCCACCTTTACTGATACAGAAAAAGAGCCAAAGGGAATAGAACGTCTCATTCACCCTTCCATCATGTCGGTGTACCACAACCTTCTGAAAGCATGCGAGATCAACGTTATCACACGCGAGTCGGCCACTGGAGCTCTGCAGAACATCACAGCTGGAGAATCGAGGGTGAGCAGCGCATGACTCAGACCTCCTTTGATCAAAGCCGACAAACCTCGGTTCATGTGATGTTTAAACTCTTGTCTCTGTGACGTGCAGCGGGCTGCGTTACTCGCCAACTGGGCTTTGGAGTACGAGCACATTCAGCCGACCCTGATAGAGCTCATGCGCACAGAGAGGGACATGGAGCTGCGTTCTCTCACCGGCCTCCTGAGGAATCTGTCCCGCCATTCAGAAAACAAGGATGCAATAGGTCAGTTTCTATTTTTAATTATATGTATTAAAAAAGCTAAGGGCCTTGAGTTCATTAACATTTTACAAGTTTTTTTTTTTGTCTTTTATGAAAATACTCTTTTTTTGCTGGACTGTGTGGTGTGATTTGCCAGTTTGTAGCCTGCTTATTTTATTGTGAAATTTAACCATATTTTTCAAACTATAAGGTGCACCAGATTATAAGGCGCATTAATCAAAACCAAACCGATTAGTCAAACGTTATTCAACTCATTCATAATAACCACATAAAATCAGTTTGAGGTCAGTAAGCCCAACCAGAATTAATACATTCGGCGTACTGGATTATAAGACTCGCTGTCGATTTTTGAGAAAATTAAAGGATTTCAAGTGCACTTTATAGTCTGAAAAACACAGTACTACTGTACACTGGAAGTTATATAAAATTTAGAGGAAACTGACGCACGTTGTGCATGCATGCTTTTTGTTGTTTTTTAGCTACAAAGCTGGTGCCCATGGTGGTAGAAAAAATGCCAGAAGACGGAAATCAGAAGGAGCCGTTCACTGAGGTGGTGATCAACCTCTGCGGCGTTCTCAACAACTTAGTCATCCACAGCCAGGTGGCTGCCAGGGACATCTGCTTCTACAACGGCATCCAAAAACTGATTGGCATCAAGAAAAATCACGACTCCAGGTTTGTAGCGTAGCAGCACATCACGCTGCAGCTAGCTAAATGCATACTAGGCAAATCAATTGTTTGCGCAGATTGTTTGTCTTTGAACAAGTGCTGACATTTGATAAAATGATTTCCAGCGTTCAGAAGATAAGAGCAGCTCAATCGGCGAGCACAGTCCTCGTCAACATGTACAATTACAAGAAACTGCACAGAGATTACACAAAGGTAAGAGGCTGCGTGGTTGATCACTTTGCTGTGAATCACAACTTAATGCAAATACTGAATTACAGATGCTGGATCAGCTGTTTGCTTTAAAAGTGGGTCTGAAATGTTTTATTTATTTATTGCTAAACACTAAATATTTAAGACAAAGTATTTATTATTAATAAAACCTTTAAGTGTGAAGTACATTTGTAAAGGCACAGATTGTAGATGTTTTCCATTAACTTTAGTATGTGCAGCTAAGCTGTGATGCGTCTCATGGGAACTTTAAATGAACCCAATGGACAGCTCATAATTAGTCTTGTGACTTTACCTTCATCATAAATTTATTACTTTTTGTTATTCTACCTCCATGTTGTTGTGCGTGCAGATACCAGCTGCCTCTGTTCAGTTTGCAGCAGGTCTGTGGATTAGTGTTGATTAGTGAATCATTTATTTCCCATCTATCCAAATACAACGTTTTGTTAAAAAATAACGCAGTGCAACCTTCAGACAGGTGTGTATACAGACTTACTGTGTCAGCCCCCCAAACATATTTTAGGTTTTGGTAAAGTGTGGATTGTCAATTTTGGGTCAGTTTTCAGAATGGGTAACACCGTTGTTTATTAAATGTTTTAAACGAAAAGTAAAGATGGTCAACTTTCTGCAAAAAACAAATTCCCTCACAATTTTAGGCCTTTGTTGCACGCTTTAACTTGTTTGAGCTTGTTCAGTGTCAGAAATTTGATTGATTTGATTTCCTCCAATGCAATGTTTCAAATTTGTTTTAATTATGACATAAGCATGCAAACATAAACAATAAATAGTGCAGCTGTTGTAAATAGCGCTCTGAGTGGCCTCAGCTTGGTGCTTATTTGACGAGCTAACAGCTAGCCTAGAACAACTTCAATCAGTAAATTTCAATGAACTTCATGCACTGTTGCATAAACCTTTGAATTCCCATCAGTTTTACATTAAATTCCTTATATATAGATTTCTATGATTATTTCCAAGTGCAAATATCAGCAGCTGCTAAGCTCTTCTAGTGTTGCCAAGATGACTTCTGACAGGAGTATCTTATTATTTCTGAAGGAATAACCCAAAGCTGAAGGTTTAAAACTTTATATAATAGTACTTGCATGAGTTACTGTGAATTTTTTTAACATGGCAGCATCTATCCACTTTGGTCTGCTTGGACTAGCCGTTAGCTCGTCCGTCATGTAGGATTTAAACAGGTTCTCCAAACCGATCTTGTTCAAAGAGTTATCTAAAGCAGGTAACATATTCATGTTTTCACTGAGCCATACTTCAAAAGATCAAAACTCTCATTAAATCGCAAACATTTGTTTTTACTAGTTGTCTTTTTGTTAATGCATCATGTCCCAAAAAAAAATTGTTTATTATTCCTCCAACTATTTGGAAAGTTTTAAACCTCTCAGTAACTTTCAAAACAAATTTTCAAGAACCCCCTGTAAGTGGGAACAAGAGGCTAAAGTTTACACGACAACCGACATCACACAAAGTTGGAAGCTTTCTTGTTATGGCGCCTCACCCTCGGTTTTATGTGTGTGTGTGTGTGTGTGTGAGGGATGACGCTCCTCCATTTTTGCCGTCCTTGTCAGTTATATGGCGTGTGTTCAAAAACCATATATCCTTCGGCTGCTCACACACACATACCCAGCCAAGCAGGTCCATGTGACGGGTGATTTTTACAGCTTTCTGCAGATCACAGCTTGCCACTCCCAAAGGTGTGGCGTTCAATCTGTTACCTAAGGAACAAGTTCGAGCAGAACAAAAAATGTGTTAATATTTGTCATGGAGGGACTTTGTTTTTTTACACTGTGGTGTGCTGCAGATTCAGGGGATCAGTTTTCCTTTTAAGATCAACTGAGCCATTGATTTGTGTGAATACAACAAATAACGAATATAAAAAGTTCATATAAATAAAAAGTTGTACGTCTTTGTGTTGCAGAAAGGGTTTCAGAAAAAGGATTTTACAGACAGTTAAAAAAGAGGAATCTAAAAAGAACAAGGCTCGAGTTTGATCTGCAAGACTTTCTGACGAGATCTCAATCACAAAAGTGATTTTTGGATCAAACCAGCAGGAGATAAAACTTTATTCCTGTGCAACACAGTGGACATCAGCAGTCAAAGACCTCTGGATCCAGCAGGACTATGAATGAACTCTTGTACTACTGTCTGCACCTAAACCATCTACTCCACACACTGTTTGTATAGAGTCAGATCTGTGACGTTTCTCCTCCGAACAGCATGAATCTAAATAAAACAGCATTAAAAACTGCCAAAGGATGGGACACGTGCGGTCTCTTGCAACTCCACAATCAAATGCAAAAAAAAAAAGCTTTCTTGTAAATATTTCTCATTGAACGTTTTGTATTTTCTTTTACAATAGACATCTTGTTCGTCAAAATTACATGAATGTAAACTAGATTATTAAACATGTGGATGTAAATAGATTTGCTTTGAGGGAATACGTTCAAATTTGACTTTTATATTTGTGTGTTTTACAAAGCATAAAGTCCCATCCTTTTAAAAAAATATATAAATAATTGCAATCAGCTGGTGGAGTGTAAAAGTGTTTTCTTGACTTTGCGTCTAAAGAAAAATGTTTATTTTGAGACCAATGACGACCGACGTTGCATATTTGAGCACCTTCTAGATTTTTAACTTGGTAAGCAGAAATTGCTTTAAATGAATTTGTGTTGAAAGTAAAGTGTTTAGATAAACTACACATTAACTCTTTAAACTGTACCAGTTTCTGCTCAGTGGTATTATGGTATTATCAGTGGTGAATGTGTTGGGGTTTGGGAGGTTTTTATTTTTCCTCATGTTTCTTACAGATGAATGTAGTGTGATTTAACAAATAAAAAGAATTTCAATCCCAGAAGTATTTTTCACGAGCGTTACTTTAACAGGCACAGATTTGCTGAAGTGTCTGGACCACACCCTGTTTACATATTTGGTCCTGCTCAAACAGGAACAATACTAGATGTTCCCTGCTGCACCCATATTTAGACTCTTACTTCACTGCACATAATCGTGTCTCCAGAGCTCATCAGCGCTGTCACAAAGGACAAGATCTGTGTGTTTATTAGCGTACCTATCTCCTTCATTTATCTGTTTACACCAATCATCGGTTATTAAATGTGAAATGAAGACAAACTTCTTAAAAATCAACATTTTTTATCTTTACTAGTCCCCTTTGGGGACTAACAGACAGTCGATCAACAATAGTGACTAAACACTCCAAATAACTTCTTTTTCACAGATGTTTTAGATAAGATTTGACACTGTATAAATATATAAAAATTTAAAATCTGAGAATTCTAAACTAAAAATGGCACATTGAAATTGTATACACATTGTACAGAAACACGAACCCATTGGCTACATGTCACAAACACAAACGGGTGGTCCTTTCACGGATCGGTGAGATTCACACGTCCTCCTTCGTGACCAGACAGTAAAAATCTGAGCGGGCTGCGTAGCTGCGAGCTCCCAGGTCCGACACGTCAACATCAGAAGATTTTGGCTCGGCTGCTCTGACAGGTGCACCAGGGAGGACCGGAGCTTTAGAGGCCAGAGTCTTGAACACAGGGAGCCGAAGACCTACAACAAAGAAAACCATAAAACCACATGCAAGTGCCTTTGTCCTGATTATCTCTTTCAATATTTGGTTTCTTGCAGAGTTACGTAAATGAGGCTGAGAAGATAAATTTAATTCACGTTTGATGCTAAAGCCTGCAGCTGGGCATTTAAACACACAGATGCAACAGGTGGACAATGCAGGGCAAGAACAGAACAAATGATAACACAGTCTACATAACATGCTACAGCTTAGTACTGCGAAAATAGAAAAATAAACGGTTGTATGTATGTTCTACAGATGGCCAGTGACCAGTCTACACAACATATTTGCAGGTATGTATTAGAAATACTGGTGGAAAGAAAACAACATACATAGGAACTACTGACAGCATCTGGACGACCAACATCCTCTGAGTCTTCTGTCATTCTACAGAACCCTATTAACAATAATTTATCTATAGTTATATAGATTTTCTGACAGATAAATCTATTGAGAACCAACAGATCAGTGTCTGTGTCTAGTGATGTTGAAATTCCTGTTTCTAGAACCAATAGTTTTTAAATAACCAATTAAAATGTGGTAAAAACCACAAACATCTCCCCTCAGTAGACAGAAAATGCCTCTTTTTAATCAAAACAAATCATACAATGAATTAAACGAGTACTTAGAAATTGTCAAAGTAAATTAAAAAAATCTAAATTTTTACAAATGAGCATTTTTTTTCAACTGTTGGAACTACATTAACTTCTAAATGTCTGATGTAACTTTGGTGGCAACTCGATTAACGCCAGCATCTCACTGGACTGTGATTGTGGGCGACTACCTAGAAACAAGAATAGGGATAAATCCTAAGTTGCAGTCTTACTGAATTATCAGTGTTCACCAACAGGTGAGACGTGGTAGTAATTTGTGGTAAATTATTAGAAATCATGGCTTATTTTTATGTGCACTCAGTGGCGGCTGGCCAATAGAGGGTGCAAAGGCGCTGCCCCACCACTCACCACATTACCAGAACATTAAAAAATTTAATAAAAATGAAATAAAATAAAAATATTTTGAAATATTTGTATATATATTTTTTGCTGTGCAAGATAAATATTTATAGTTAATGATGAGTAAAGTTGTTTCGTTCATTGATGTCTGATTGGTGATGACGTATTTCCACCCTGGAGTGCAAACATATTTGCCCATAGACTCTCTTTAAAAGTTGTACATGTGCAGTAGCTCCTCTTCAATACAAGACATAGGACCATTCTGGGCGCACCTCTCCTGCGCCCAGAGCTGAATGCAGCTTGATTTGCATATCAGCCTCCCGAAATGGGAGGGTGGGACTCCCGCTGCAGGGCTGATGTCACAGCCGTCTGTCAAAGTTCACCTGATCGACAGGTTGAGCCGTGGGAGTTGGAGACGATTGGACAGAGATGCAAAATGGAGCAAGAGAAATTAAATAATTCAGTGAAGTCACTGAAAACAATATCAGGAGAAGCTAGAGGTGAAAGAGCTCAGACCTGCAGCCGAACATCACAGTTAATCAGCAGTCCAAAGACAGAGGGAAACAGTACACTTGGTCTTTTTCCAGGACCTGGTTTAGCAACAAGACTTGGCTAACTACATGTAGCGAGGCTAATGCGTTATTCTGCTTTCCCTGCCTCCTTTTTCAAACATCAGGATCTGACCCAGCATGGATTAAGACAGCTATGACTGATCTAAAGCATTTGTTTTAGAAAAGGCAAAGAAGCATGAACAATCTGGGAACCACAGATCCACCAGAAATTTGCTTCTCTCAAGGATAGAAAAGCAAAATTTAGATACAAAAAGTAGAGCACTATAATGTTGCTTTTGTTGTGTTCATTCATGTAAATACACTGGTGTGATACTTTAGTATATGTTGTGGTATATGTCTATTATGGAGTTACAGCCGCCGGCCCCCACCCCCCTCCCCCAGCCGCTACTGTGTGCACTGCTTGCAAAACCATACTCTAGGCCTGAACCCTGCACATTATTTAGTTGCCCATCAAAGAGTTTCTTCACAGACACTTAGATGTGCATTTATCAATAACACAATGAATACAGGGTTGAGTTACAAATATTACTGAATATTATAACCAGCTGTCATTAGTAAAGAGTCCCTAAACCTTTGTTTTGCTTCCAGTGTTGTGTTTACTTGTATCTCCGTCCAAACTAAAAACACCTGCTGCATATAATCACCAGTTATCTGCATAAAACCTCAACATTGAAAGAACAGATTGCAAATATATGTGCACATCTTTAAATTAGATTAAATTAAACTAAAGAACCAGATTCCTCAGATGTTTATTTTGAGTTTGATCCATGTTACTTTGCTGTTCTGTACAAAACACACTGAAAGTAATAAAGTAAATATTTGTACAAATGTATTTTATTATAAAGTAACTTTTAAACTTGTTTAGTATTCATGTAAAATTGTCAAACTGACAAATATATTTGAGCTGTTAAGATTTTTGCCTAACAAAGTGCAGAACATCTAAACCCCAACAGTGCTGCATGTCTGTCTGTCCTTTATCAACATGCGTGCAAGTTTAATTGAACTCAATTTGCATAGAAAAAACATGTTTTCTATGACAGGAGCCATGGAACAAGTAAACAACTTGTTCAGTGACTGCTGAGCTTACCCAGATCTCCAGCCGGATCAGTATCTGAGCGGCAGTCCAGGTAGTCAGGGTCAAGGGTGAGCATGGGGTCTTCGTCCTCCTGTAGCACCGTCTGAGGATCGCCTGCAGACTGACTGTAGAAGGTGACTCTACGAGGCAACGCTAGAGCCAATTCTTTCCAGAAGTCAGAGGAAGGAGTCTGAGCACAGGAACCATAAAAACAAAGGAATCATGCTGTTATAGTAAAAAGGAAGTGAGTTTTTGGAAGTTCAGAACATTTACCTGTGTGTGTGAAATAATTAACACGACGCAAAATCCTGTTTTGCAGATAACATTGTAGAATTATTTTAAAAACAACTAAATCTAATTTTAAAATTTAATAACCCACAAGAACAAAACTATTTTTCCAGCATAACAAAACTAAAAGCTGTCATTTTATGCAACATGCGTTTCTGTTTTTAAAGACTTAGCTCTTCACTCAGACTCGAACGTAACCACATGGAACTCGACTGTCTTCTTGGACAGATTTTGGTCTGTGCCGTTTCTGCCTCAGGTCTTCTCATTGGTTAAAAATAAGGAGTGCTCACTTTGAGAAATGGGACGTTGCATACTTTCAGGCACCAATCAGAATCAGGCAACATTTGAATCTCACTTTTCAGACTGACAGAAAACCCACACCACCCTTCGAACTACTGATACACTGAAAAGACAAATACTTAGATTATTGTCCTGATGCACGCTCAGTAATCCAGGTGCATAAATCTAACAAGCTGAGTCAGGTCATCTGGATGGGTTCTTTGTTGAAATGTTTCATCATTTATCCAGAAGACATTTTCAGTCTGAGGAGCTGCAAGCAAAGTCTTATTAGCAGCACCCTCTCATAGTGGACCATCCAGTCTGCTGGACAGCTAGAACTAGCTGTTCACATGCAGAAGGACCATCAGCCTAATGATTAATCGTGAGTGCCGATGGCCACTTGCTGTTCACAGAGGGCTGAGTGACTCACAATAACAGTATTGTAAGAGGACAATTGGACACAGAAGCCTCCACCCCTGTTTAATGATGGACAGTTTTTCTTCACAAAGATGGCCTCCTTTACTCCTCTCTCAAACCATCGTTCCTCTCTGTCCAGGATGTGAACATCTTCATCCCTAAAAGTGACCGCTCGTCTGCAGATGAGTGTAGAGCGCAGAGTCCTGGCCTGATGATGTTGATCTTCTGTGCTGGTCCGTCCTTTTGGCCAGTGGCTGTTTAGTTTCCCTGATGCAAGACTGATCACCCTCCTGACACTGAACAACATACACAATATTACTCTGTTTGTGCCGGGGGACTGGATCTTTGGGATGAACCAGTCTTTACTGTAATGTATTTTGGGGGATTGAAGGCCACTGGGACGTTGTGTTTAGAAAATAAACGTTGTTGAAGGAGTTCACTGGATACTTAAATTATTATTTTCAGACAAATCACCATCTGAAAGCAGCATTTATAAAAATGTTTTGAAAGCTAAGAAAGAAAAGCTCTGTTGAAAGGTGACAAACCCATTAAATTTTTTTTAAAGCCCTTAGGTTTTAAGAGCTTGTTTTTGAGTATAGTTTGAATAATTTTAAACATACCTTTTGACAGAGTGGTTGAGTTTAAACCCTGTTTATGTAAAGCAGGATTTACCACCAATGTCAGTACTAGAATATCCTTTATAATAATGTAGTCAAATAATTTTAAATAAAATGTACTGTGGGTGAAAACAAACAGATTCATGTTTAAATTGAATGATTCTATGAACCATATGTTGGATCGTACCACAGAGTTGTGCCTCCAAGTGAGTATGGTGAGTCGATGTCGGTGCTCATTAAGCTGCTGTTTGACGTCAGAACTTATGCGTCTGGACTGACCCTCCAGCATGATCAGGATGGGTTGCTGACATATCTCCAACAAGTGCAGAAAGCCTTGTCTGCAAAGGAAAATCCACAGTACATTAGACACACAGCACAGATGCAACACTGACCTCATGTGGTGCTTTTATATAATGCAACAATTTTACTCATAAAATCTGATTTTTTTATTTTTATTATTTGAGTTTTTGCTAATATAAAAAGCCTGACCTGAAATTGCTGGTGCACCAGTCCTGCTCGAGATACGCATGAGAGAGCAGCACAACGAGGCGCCGAGAGCGGCTCATGTTCATTAGGAGCTCTGCAGAAGGGGCTAGATTGTGAAAGAAAGGCTGATTTACTTTTTGGACATTACAAGAAAAAAAAAGAATATTCATGCTGATTAGAAGAAGCTGGTAAAAATAATGGATGGATGCCGATAACATGAACAAAAATATGAAAAACACTTATTGAAACATATTCTTTCTCTATGTGATGTTACCTGCACCAGGTAGGATATCGTTGTCATTGAGGTGCAACTTGTACCCACTTTTATTTTCCAGGTGAGGTTTGAGAATAAAGTTAACAAACTTCCTGTCGTAGTCATTGTTGACATACGAGATGTAGGCATCATATAGTTTCCCATCTAAGGAAGCACAGACACAAAGATACGATGGGTGTAAAAACTGCACCCTTGCATGAGAACATTACCTTCATACTGTTTCTGCAAGACTCACCGTTGAGTTCATAGTCTCCATACAAGTTTTTGTACCAGAGCTTGATGTTCAGGTGACACCTGGTGTACATGATGGCAGCTACACCCAACAGGAGGAGGAGGAAGACGGCTGCAGTGACAGCAGCTGTGTGGCTGGGACTGTCTGAACACAATTTAATTAGTTATTCTACATGATCCAGCTATTCAGTTATTATTATTCACTCAATTATTTATTTAGATAGGACCCACTGAATATAAATAAAACTGGACAAAAGTTCCACAATTGCAAACTGCAAAGATTTGTTCAGCTAATAAGTGGTTTATTTTGACAAAAATAAATAAGAGAATTTTTTTTTTTTTTTATCAAATATGTTTTTTGAAATTTTGCATAGCAATCTTGAAACTTTCCACACACTTTCCACAGGGGCTTTTTGTACAAATGCAACATTTTTGTTGTTGTATGATGTTTAAGTGACATGAATGGAGTGGATCTTTCTCAAAACTGTTCGTGTGAGCTGCAACCCTTTTGTTGCTTACTTTCCAACATGGAAAAATGTTGAAATATACAGTATGACATTCTAATCAAGATAAAAGTCTTTATTTTACATGTTAAAAGCCTGATCTGCCAATCAATGTGTGCCAATTTTGAATCCCACTATGTGTCTTGAACAATTTCCTGTGTTCTCTGCCAAAACAATCTCAGAAGAACACATCATAAGCTAAAAAATAAAACAACCTCTTTCGCAAAAAAGAAAAAGAGGTCCAGATTTTATTCTCTTAATACGCCAAAAAGAAAGAAATTCAGTGCATGTTTTAACTTGTCTTACTTGAATTCTGTACGAAGAAACTGGTGGAAATGTTCCTCACTGTGCACACGTAGAGTCCAAAATCTTTTGGGTCTTTAAGCACTATCTCTAGCAGACTATTTACAATCAACTGTCCAGCTGCAGGAGACCTAAAAAAAGGACAGAAAACATGATCTTAGCATCGCTTAACAATTCTAAATGTGATGCAGGCACTCTAATGGAAAACTAATCTGTTAAAAGCTTCCAGTGTACCATGATGATGTGTTGTGGAGGAAGAGAGTATGGTTGGAGAGAGGGTGGCCAGCTTTGCTCCACTGCAGCATGGTTTCACATTGCTCCTCTGATGGATCCCAGAGGAGCAGAGCGGTGCAATTCAGACTCACAATGGATCCCACATTCCTCCAGAGTTTGGTCAGACTGCCATTTGCTTTAAACTCTGGAGCTATGGCACACAGAGACTCTGTAAAGACATACAGTTAACTGTGAGAGCTACAGACAATGCAGGTCTTTATATAGAGTCTGAGACTGCTGCTGGAAGGAACTGCACAGCTGTAGTGAACTAGGCCTGAGCCTGAGGTCAAGTCCTGACCTTAAGGACCATATGGGACAGAAACTGTCATTTCATTGATTTGAATCCAGAAATACAGGTTGACCCATCCTGAGACTTTCTTTCTTGAATTAATCAAGTGAAAGAAGACTATTTTCGATTATCATTACTATTTTACAAATGTTTGATAATCAAATTGTGTTAGTTCAAACAATGTTTAAATGTTGAAGTGAACTACTCATTTTTAAATCAACTGTGAAACAGTAATAACGATTTTTAATCCTCATTCAAAGTGAAATCAAGTTGGAATATGTTACAGAGTAATGATTCAATTTCTTGATCGTCTGTTTGAAATGAGCAAGTGGTGTAAGTTGTTCAAAGTTCAAGTTTCGGTCAACTGCAAGTTTACTGAAAAAGAAATGTCATGTTTAACTTTTACAGCAAGATACTGGAGAAGTGACTCCACGAAGTCTGAGTTCTTCATAACAATCTTCTGTCTGTTCTTAAACAATCTTAATCTTTTTCCTTGACTTTTCATAACACCTTACATCACAAAACACACCTCTGTTTTGGTCCATCGACCAATCAGAAACTCCCAAATGAACCGGAAATAGAGCTCTTTAAATGTTGGTACTTTCTAGTTCAACCCAGTTAGTTGGAGTCGGATGAAAGAGTTCTGCAAGAGGTTCCACCTCCAGTTGGAGTTGGCGTAGATGAAGAAGTTCTGCAGGAGCTCGAGCAGTTCTGCAGTTCTGAAACTCGGCAGTTCCAGAGTCCAGAATGCTGGGATGCAGAATGCTGGAATGCAGCATGCTCAGTACATCTGCCACTAAGCTGGACGAGAGAAGTTCAGAGGAATTATGAAGTCTGTTCTGGATGATCTCACGACTCCCGAGGTTTAGCTGTTCTTACGGAGACGCTGAAAAGTGGCTCGAAGTGGAACTTTACGCCGGAACTGACATATCTTCAGAAAGGTAAAAAGTCGATCTTCAACCAAAGTGTACCGTTGGGACAAGCTGGTCTAGAAGGAGCGTGCTGTTCTGGTTAAAACAGACAAATTCCCTCACACATCTCTCTCAAGATAAACTTCATTTCCCATCTTTAAATTCTTCTATCTGCTAAGAAATTAATCCAGATATTTTTAGAAATGTCTGAAGCAAAGTTTTTCAACCACCGCCGTGTGGTTAACGTCTGTTGTACTGCTGGAAGTAAGAAAACAATCGCCGTATTGTTTACTCCTCGTAAAACTGAGTAATAAGCTGTCGTTATTTTCAATTTTTGCCAATTAATGTAAATGTGTGATGTGTTAAACTTGATTCTGTTAATAAATGACCCACTGTCGTTGGTGAGTCAAAGATAATTAACGTTTCCGTCCACATTTTATTAAATTCAGATGCACGTCATTATACAGTCCAGAAAAATGAAAGAATCCGTTTAATTTATGAATATATATCAGAATATGTTCATACTACACAGCAAACTCCCTTTAATGTCCCGACACACGCTTTAAGTTTACAGCAAGGGGCTGATAATGGTGTACTGTGATCCACAGTATTAAAACATTATATTTAGAATGAGTTCAGTTACAGTAAAACAACACAGGGCTGCAAGGTGTAGCAGTGGTTAAAACTGAAAAAGTATTTGGGTTCAAAGCTCAGGTGCAGCCATTCTGTGGGGTTTGCATGTTTCCTCTCATGCATGCATGAGTTTTCTCAAGATACTTGAGTTTCCTCTCACAAACCAAAAACAAACACGCATATGAGGTTATTTTGCTAAATGCGAGTGATGTTTGACTATGTGGCCCTGAGATGGACCTGTCCAGGATGTACATTGCCTCTTGCTTAATGACTGCTGGAGTCAGACTCCAGCTCCCCGTGACACTGATAATCAGAAAAACTGTTAAAGGAAAAGGCTGGATGGATAAAACAAAGCTAATGCTCACCCTTTACAATGAGGCGCACAGTAAATGATGCTGTGCTGTTTCCTTGTAGAATACAAGTGTAATTTCCTTGGTCCTTTAAGCTGACGCTGCTAAACTCCAGGGAAGTCTTCCCCACCTGCTTGGGAAGCTGCTGACAGTCCTTCAACCAGGTCAACTGGATGTTGGGTCCATTCTGGGACGGAAAAGACTGCAGAGGACACTGCAGTGAATATGAAGAGCCATGCTGCCCTATATAAAGCACCTGATCCTTAAAACTTCTCTCGTTCACACAGCTCTGGCCTAAAACAAACAAAAGCACAAGAAATATGATGTTAGATTTTGTTGCTAAGGGTGCAAATTTCCAGTTTTTTTAAACCTAGTTCTGTTTCTGGTTGTTTGCTGATTGCATTCATCACGTTATTTCCATTGTTAAAATCTGCATATGTGGGTCAATCAATGCACAAACTACTAATCTTAAGACGCGTTATGGTTGGCTCATATATGAAATACTTACGGCATTATTCCCTGACCCAGATGTTTGCAGGATGCTTTGATTTAATTCTTCGAAACTGCTTGTTAGTTAAGGAAACAGTTTGCATACACTCTGGAGTGACTGTATAGCCTGAATGTGATGGTGCTTCTTTAGTTAATGAGCTTCTAAACCAAAATCGAATGGGTTTTGATGATTTAGACAAATAAAAATCCACAGAAATCCTCACAAATGTTTTATATTTAAATACAGTACACTATATTAAAGCTCCCCTTAAAACCCCTTTCATTTTTTAAGTGTTTAAACATAACTAAAATCAACAAGAGTACTGCCCTCTCTGGTTCAGGAGCAGATTTTAACAATCGAGCTCCATCCGGGGTCGAAGTCCGCCCTTGTTGCCAGGCAACAGCACGTGCCTACGTGACCCTGCACGCCCCGACCTCGCGCGCACTGACCCGGTAGTCCAGCTAGCATCAATCTTATCGTCACTTCGTGGTGAAATATATAAATAAAAAGATGTTTGAGGGTCCAGCCTAAGTGTGCGTTCAAAGTGAAGTTCTCAGAGAAGAGAGAAAACCTAAAAGTGTAAACGGAACTGAAGTTTTTTTTTGTTTTCGTGCATCCTTACCGGAAACAAGGGAAGTCCATGACAACCAAAGTAATATCGAAGCAAATAAAATCTTCGCCATGAGCTGAAGTTCTCTTCCTCCTTTCTCTGGCAGGAAAAATAGTTCACCACAAACGCCTTTTTTTTTTTTGCCAACTTTCGGAAAGGTTAGTTTAATGTTTTGTTTCTCACTGAAGGTGGCCTCGCAGCCTTTCTGTCTAATCAACTGCACCTGGAAGAACCGGAAGCTCTGCTGATGATTGGCTCCCCGTGGTCACGTGACTCCCACTGGCTTCTACCTGTAGTCTCTCAAAGCGCACTCCCGGAACTACACTTGTCAAAGTGGAAATAATAACTTTTATTTGAAGGAAAAAAAAACTATCAATAAACTTTTAAGCGTAAATAAAGACACGTTTCCTGTTTTATAACCTGCTTTACTTGTTCTCAATTAGACTCTTGAGTCTTTAGGAGCTACTACTCAAAAAACGATTGCTCATTTCAGCTGCACATTTTATTATTATTAGATCTTTATTTATGCAGGTTAAAGTGTCCAGAGGTCTATTTTCCAAAAAGGCCACATTTGCTATTAAAAATACACAAGATAAAACTAAATGCTTTTTTATAGTTGTTTAGCAGCAGTAGATAAGACAGCTCTGAAGGTACCAGTTACATTAGTACCTGTATAAGATACATACCTACTAACTACTTATTTACAAAGTCCATACTTTGTGTGCCTGGTACTTAAAGTTTACGTACTAGGTAAGCGTCATCCCTGCTGTAACAGTTCGGTAAACAGGACACAAACTGGTTAACTAGAGTGGGCTCTAGAGGAGATTTCACTATCCGTTCATGAAAATCACCTTAGGACCAAATATTTTCTTATTTTGAGCATCTCATACCAGGAACACTATACCACATCAAATATGTGAACTTTCAAATTTACTAAGTTATACTGAAAAACAGCTTGGATCACAGTACCGGTATTCTATTATTGTTTTCATTAGGGTACCGTACTTTTGCTTATTTTACTTTTTTTTTTTTTACTTTTATTTTACCAGGTGAAATTTTTGATAACTGCTCTCATTTACAAACATGACCTAGCCAAGAAATCAATAAGAAATAGGTGCATGCATTGCACAGAACCATGCCAAAAAAATAAATTCAAAATAAATATAAGGATAAAATTGAATATGTGTATGCGGAAGAAGTGTTTAAGAAAATAAGTAAGATGCATGTTTGTAAAAGAAATGTGCCAAAGTGCATCTGAAAACCACCTAATCTGTTGGAGTTTAAGCTTAGAATCCATGAGAGATTTCAAAGTTATGAGTTTGAGAGTGTTTTGAAATGTATTACAGCCGTCTGCTGCAGCAACGCAAAAAAATTTTACTGCCAAAAATATTGAAAGTTTTTGGAATGATGAATCTGATATGATGTAGATAAAGTGGAGTTTTACTCAGGATTGCCTTGTAGACAAAGTAAATCCAATGATGGAACCGTATCATCATCACAGTTATATTAATCATCATATTAAGTACCATCACCCTGTCCAACAAACAAAAAAAATGAAAATGTACTTCTTGCTACAATCTTGTATATTTACATTTATTATTTATTGTTCATCAATATAAGCTGTCCTTGTTTAAAAATATTAAACTTCAAGTGCCTGATACATACCTGATACTTACCAGGTACATACCAGATAAGAACTCTGTAAGAACCAGGTACATACCCAGTAAATAACAGAAACATTTTCTGCAAGTGGTTCATTAAAGCAGGTACAAAGTAAGTACAAGGTATGTGCTCTGTAAATACCAGACCTGTTAAATCAGGTTTGTAACTGATAAGTATGTACTCTGTAAGTATCAGGTAATGTATCACGTATATACTGTGTACCAAATAAGTAATGGGTATGTATCTGTAAGTACCAGGTGTGTAATCTGCAAGTATGTACTTACTAAAACAAGACTGTATGTGGCAAGTACCAAGTTGGTGGTACATATGTAGCTGTAAAATATATAGCAACCATTAAAAAAAAAGATTATTTAGTATATGATACCTTTAAGTACTCCAAATAACTTTTAAAAGTATTTACCCTTAATGTGTATTCAAGAAGTTATTGAGCTGTGGTAGCTTGGTGGTCAGTGCTGTGGTCTTGTAATCCTGAGGTTGCGAGTTTGAACCCCGGTTGTGTCAGGAAGGGCATCCAGAGTAAAACATTCCCCAAATGTTTCATGTGAGTTCGCTCGCTGTGGCAACCCTTGAAGAGGCAGCGGCTGAAAGAAACTTACTCTGTGTGTACACAAAGTTACTTCATCCTAAAAGTGTCCCATTAGAGACTGATGTAAACAGATACAAAATGCTACAAATATATTTATCACAAGTTTTGCAAAAAAAAGTATTTAGCTTCTCAGTTAATTACAGTTTGATCATTTCTGTGTGAAAAATTGTTGTTAGCTTTGAAATAGGTGAATATGTCACATTTATATAATAACAAACTATAATAAAATAATGAATAATGCTAACTACCATTGTTTCCATATATATGTACATTTTTTCTCAAATGAAAACACAGGCACACGTTAAATTTCAAAGACAGCTCAAAGACAAGTGGTCTCTTTTTTATTCAATATTATAAAATATAATAATGCAAAACATTCTCATTTACAAAACACAGCATCATATTTTGTCTGAATAAAGTAAAAGCAACAAGCATGACAGCGCTGTTCTTTACAATGTAAGGCAATATAATAACACAGTCAGCAGTCTATTTGTGGAGCAGTTTAAAATACCTTCAGGCTTTCAGTGAAAACACTTGGATATAGCTCACAAACACACATCACTAAGCTCTCAGTGCTTCCTCAGGTTAAAATACAACAAATCTCATAAAAGGCATAACCTGTAGTACCAATTATTTTGCACGTTTTGCTCAAGAAAAAAGAAGCCTTTTTAAAAGTCCATTTAAAAAAAATGTAATTCCAACCGTTGACAGCAGACAATAACACGGAGCCACGAGTCCTTCATTTGATCTCTTTAGGAACATGAGTAATGGACTTTGATCTGTCCCAGTGCTGTCCCAGTTTCTATATTTAAAAAGCACATGGCTATACTCGATTCATGTCTCCAGGATCAGAACATGTCCCCTTAAAGTGTCTGAATGTTGTCACGCTTCAAAAGACCTGAAGAAAATAAAACATTTGTCATCACAAGTCATCAATTACACATTTAGGACTAATTAACTTAAAGTACCAGTAAATATATTGGGAATGTCTAACAAACTAAATGAATATCTGTAAAACCATCTTATTATATTGAGAAAATAAAAAATGTAGTGAAATAGGGAAAAAGAAAATGTGCTGTGCAAATGTAAATGTAGTTCTCCTTGTCCTACCAAAGGTCTGGGAGTCACTTTAATTAAAAAAAAAATGACAAAACATAAAAATAAAATAAACTACTGCCATGCTGGCCACTGAATTTTATCCCAGATTTCTTTTCAATTAAACAAACAATATATAGATATGCATAAATGTATTTACCTACCAAAGAAGGTTAAATGCAATATTTTTTGCCTGTGTCTGTGTGTGAGTGCAGGTTGTTTGAATCGTTAGCGAAACATTTCATGAACCAGTGGATGGAATTTAATAAAACTCTCAGGAAGAAACAAAAACAGTCCTAAAGGATGCATGCTTTCAAGAAATGCTAGATCTTTAATATTTCCTGTTTAATATGACAGAACTGCTTTCGAAACATACTTCTGTTTTTTCTGATATTATGACAAAAATCGCAGACTGACTAAACTACATAAAATATTGTTTAGCTAATTTTATTAAATTTAAGACTTGGTTATTAAATCTTGTATCTGTTGTCTTCTGAAAGCAGTTATTTAAAACTAAGAAAATAAACATTATTTTATTGTTTTTATGGCATCTGTGGATGCTACAACGATAATTACAACTGAATGAGATATTTTATTGAAGAAGATTAAAAAACGTTACACAAGTTAGCAGCCCATATGTGATGCAATCAAAGGAAATCCAATGTGAGTTTTGTCCTATTTTCAAACAAAATATTGGGATCAGGCAAAATCTGAATCCTTTATAAACTGTTATACCCTACGTTTTGGTTTTAAAGCATGCAAACACAGCTAGCATGTGATGTCAAATGCTTTTGCACAGGATAAATCCGAAAAGCACTTTGTTGGCAACTAGCCATGCCCTAGACTCACCTGAGTTCCTCTTTTAGCCTACGAAGTTTATCAAAGAGCTTATCGTTCTTTACTTGCATGGGAGCAGACGGTACAAACCAGGCTGCGATGAATTTACATATGACAAGAACGTGCTGCAAGCAAAAAAAAAAACAAAGTTAGGAATGCCTCATCATCTGTTACCATCTGCAAACAGCTTGAACGGTTTCATTATTGCAGCCCGTGGACTCAAACTTAGACTTTAAAAACGGGTAAAACTAGAAAGACGTGAACTGAATTTGGTGTTGTGTTGAAGGCAAATAAAAACTTAAACTGGTCTTTGCCAAGGCTCACCTCAAAGAGGATGACAAATGCAAAGCGAACAGCTAAAATCAGCCAGTACTGTGGGGTGAAGTTGTAGTCACTGTCCCTGTAGTCTTTGTAGCTGTAAAGAGGAGCAGAGAAGACTGTTTGTAAAAGTATTTTCAAATGGTGGACAACGTGTGGCTGCAAGCTGAATGTCCAGTTCACTGTTTCTGAAAGAATGTAAACAGAATAGCACCATGCATTAACATCAAGATTTAAAAAAAAAAAGAAGAGCATTCCAGTTTCAGGCAGACACTGATCATCACCGATTCCTTGTTTAATTTAATTTGTTTTCCGGTGATCTCCGCATCAGAATTGTGACTTAAGTTATAAAAGAAAAATAAAGAGAACAAACCTGCATGAAGTGGCATTCGTGCCGTCAGAAATGACAATCTGATCTGGTAAAAATTGCAGTATTGTGTTTGACGCAGTGGACAGGGTGTTGTTAATGTAGCCAACCATGCAGCTAAAGCAAGAAAAGAAGCAAGTTTAAGTGAGATAGACCCAGACTACTGCAAACAAAAAAAGAACATTTT